CAACATGGCGGCGCCCAGTCAGTGCCACTTCCTGGACGCTGATCGTAGTGTTATCACTAGCTGGGGACATTGAAATAAATCCAGGCCCAGTCCAACACCCGTGCAGAACCTGCAAGCGAGCAGTAGCAGCCAGGCACAGGGCTGTGTACTGTGAACTGTGTAACGTATGGTCACACATCAGGTGTGCAAACATCACCCCAGCCGAATATTGTATCATGCAGCAGTCACCCGATGATAATGACTGGTACTGCCCGCAGTGTGTAATAGAGACAAAGGAGCTCCCCTACATAAACTGTAGTCTCCTGTCATGCGAGCTCAGCAATAATTCGGACACTTCATCACTATCGAATTCTGACCTTAGTCAAATCACAGTGGACCCGAGCACTATCGATATCGATACTCCAAACACCTCTTTGGGGTTCACATGTGCGGACGCCACACCATCAGAGCAAATAGACACAGAAGATGAAAATTACCTCGAGGAACTTGTTCGGTTGCGCAAGGAAAATCGTAATCATATTATATACGCGCACCTAAATATAAACAGCATGAAAAGTAAATACGTCATGCTGACCGACATGCTGTTCCAAAAACTCGTGAACGTGTTAGTCATCGGAGAGTCCAAAATCGATGACTCTTATTCTGACGCGATATTCAACGTGGACGGCTATCGACTCTACAGGAGTAGTAGAGATAGTAGAGGTGGGGGTATTATGGTCTATGTGAGATCAGATATCCCATCTCGAAGGTTGATAGAATCGGAACCTGCACAAGTTGAAGCCATGAATATTGAGCTACAGATTAAGAATACTAGGTGGTTTGTGCTGCCGTGCTACCGACCACCAGCACAGTCACCCAAAGTATTTATCGAAAATGCTACGAAAAACCTGGATACGATACTCACAAAGTATGAAAACGTAATTGTCCTCGGTGACCTAAATTTTAATATCTTTTCTAAAGAAAAAAGTGCACCCCTCACCGAGCTGTGTGACGTATTCGATCTGAAAAATCTAGTCAGTGAAGCAACGTGCTTCACCAAAAATAGTGATCCATCATTGGTCGATGTCATCTTGACAAACAAACCGAGGTCCTTTAACAGGACCCTGGTAGTTGATACTGGCCTCAGTGATGTTCACCGACTAGTGGCCAGTGTTATGAGGATGACACTTCAGCCTACATCAGAAAGGAAACATTTCTACCGTAGCTTCAAAAATTTGGACGAATGTGAACTTAACCGCGACATCGCATCCGCACCCTTGCATGTGGCCGATATTTTCGACGATGAGGACAATACATGCTGGATGCGGGATAAGCTACTCGCTGATATCATAGACGAGCATATTCCGATCAAAGATCGAAAACGATAGAGAGCGAAATGAACGGAGCGCTTCATGAACGGATGTGATTCTTAGCGCTTCATGAACGGAGCGCTAAGAAAGACAATAAACTATAAGAAGAAACTTCGCAGAACTTTTGAAAGATCTAGAACAAACAAAAACTTCAAAAAGTTCATGAAACAACGTAACAAAGTCACCTCTATGAAGAGAGCAGCAATACGAGACTATTTCCTTGAAAGGTGCACAGGAGGGCCAACATCCAAGGACTTTTGGCCCACCATTAAGCCGTTCCTTAGCAAAAACTCATGTGGCGGACAGGATATATTTCTTGTCGAGAATGATGCTGTAGTGACTGATCAAAAAACTGTGTGTAATATATTTAATGAATATTTCTCAAAAGTGGCCAAGGATATTGGTCGCGACTTGACCGAAAAGGAAGTTGAAGACCATCCCAGCCTTAGTAAAATAAGGGAGTGTGCACTAGGGAAGACGAACATTGTGAGACACTCCATTGAGAGGGGAAACGTGGCACCAATTAAACAAGCGCCGCGCAGGTTGCCCATGCACCGACAGGCCCAAGCTAAAGCAGAACTCTTTGAAATGCTGCGAACCGGAACCCAGTGGGCACATGACGTTAGATTTACGTTGTATTTACGTCGGATCCTAACGTTGGATTTACGTCAGATTATGGTTGGATATGAAAGTTAGATAGACGTCATATTCCGACGTTGACACAACGTCAGAACACGACGTTAGAATTACGTTAGATTCCGACGTTGACACAACGTCAGAGCACAACGTTGGATTTACGTCAGATTATGGTTGGATATGAAAGTTAGATAGACGTCATATTCCGACGTTGACACAACGTCAGAACACAACGTTTAACGATTAGAATTACGTTAGATTCCGACGTTGGACAAACGTTCAGAGCGACAACGTACCGTGCGGTTACCGAGCCAGCTGCATGTACCGCTGCGTGCTACAGTAACTGGCCATTCTCGGCTGGTAACGATTGCCAATGGCTGTACCGCCAGGCAGCGCCACTATCTGCAATACCAGCCAACATTGCAAACTACATGGCCCAGTACCAAGCACAAATTAATGTACCCCATCCCTTTCCTTTCCCAGGTAATTCAGGTACTAANAGCCCACTATTCTGCCAATACCCAGCCAACATTGCAATACTGGCCCAGTACCAGCACAATAATGTACCCCCATCCCCTTTCCCTGTTCCCCAGTGGTAATTCAGGTACTAAGATATACTAAGATATAAGTACTAAGATATACTAAGATAACACACAAACAAGCAGATAGCATATTTATCTGTATTCAGATATAATGTTGCCGATTCTTCGTACACACACACATACATACATNAGACGGCGAGCAGACGAGAGAGCCGAGAGATCGCAGAGAGAGATGGTATGAGAGGCGTTTGAATCAAGACCTATAAAGTGCACATTATGTTGCCACAACTGTTGATTCTCAGTAGACACCTCAAGCAGTCTCTGTAGTCACGTGCCTAATTGTGAAGGTGCAAAATATCAGTCTATACTCACCGACCTCAATATATCTGCTAACGATGGTGTAAATAGATTTTTGTGTATCTGTGTTGCTATTATTTGGTTTTGTTATATGCACCTCACCTGAGCAATTCACGCGCGCATTATCATAATCCCAATATGTCCTGCGCTCTGACACAGAAATGTGTGTATTGTGACGCTAGCAAGACATCTATCGTCCGGAAAAGACACCATCATACCCCGGCCGCATCTGCCTGGGCAAGATAGTATATATTGTATGTGTGGTGTGCTACGAAGAATCGGCAACATCGACCAAAGTAGTCCTGCCCAAGATACAAAGGCACTCATCAGATATGCGCTATCTGACGTGTTATGTGTGGTAGGGTATCTTAGTACCTGAATTTCGACCCCACTGCGCGTGGCCGGTTGAAGCAAGGGAGAAGGGGTCATCGCGGCGTACATTATTTGTGCTGGGCCGGCCTACATGGCGCCAGCCGCTATTGCCCACCATGGTTGCGTGAGGCTCGCCGCTGCCGCGCAGTAATCTTGGCAGAATATCTCTCTCTCTCTCTCTTTATATATATTATATATATACATATAATTAGCCAAATAAAATACAAAGTAATCAAATAAGAAACCAAATAAATGGAAGTATATATAATGCAAAATATGTAATGTTTGGCAACAGCTAAATTTGAAATGTAAATGAGTAAATGATATCACATGTCAAATAATATAATACTGAAAACGCGAGCAAACAACACATGTACCCAGTACATGTACACAAACCTGTACATACAACATATATATCCAGGGGTAGAAATTAACTTTTGAACACGGGATCGAGTCCAAGAAAATTTGGCAGACGTGCAACCACATAAATCTTAAAAAATGGCATGTGTTATGTGTTTTTCAATTTTGAACGTCAGACTGCGGACTCTCTCTTTTTGAGGGTAGAGAGTTCCTCTAACGCGAGAATGCAACTAACAAAACGAGGAAAACCGCGGATCCGCGGAGATTTCACAGGCCTGATATCCAGGGGTAGAAATTAACTTTTGAACACGGGATCGAGTCCAACGAACTCCCTACCCTTAAAAAGAGAGAGTCCGCAGTCTGACGTTCAAAATTAAAGAACACATAACACATGCCATTTTTTAAGATTCACGTGGTTGCACGTCTGCCAAATTTTCTTTGGACATTAGCTGCAAAATACGGTAATTCCGCGAGGCCGTGCTCTTGATTGAACTAGTTGGTATGGCAGAATTTTCAGGGAGTCACACGGACTCCTGCACATGTCAAATCAGGGAGTCCGGCAGTAAATCAGGGAGTATTTGACTCCGGACTCCCGTTAATTTCGCACCCTGTATATAAATATATAACATATATAACAATATATAACATATATAAAGATTAGATATGTATCAACATCTGATGAATCCACCTCAAAAATAAAAGCTCAAACAATCTGCTCTGATTCACTCATTATGCTGTCTTCTTGTGCCCTTTCTCTCTCCTTCCTCTTCATTCCGCCATGTCTATCTCCGGCATTCCTTAGCCATACCGTTATTTCTTTTTCAACAGCAGCCACTGTTGCATTTTCTCCTGGATGCTTTACAACTGCACCTGAATTACATGAAGAGCCAAATTAAAAAAGCACAATAAAAGTCTTTTTTCTTCTCCGTCTAGGTGGCAGTGGCTTATACAACACTATGGTAACTTGGAGATGTTACCTTCAGCCGCTTCTTCACGGGGCTAAGACGCAAGGGAAGGCCGTTGTCGGTAGAGCTGTTTGCCAGAAGATTTCGTTGAAGTTCGCCCATCTTGACTATTGCGTCCTGCAAGCACGCCTCATCATCTACGCGATAAACGATATCCCGCACTAGATTCAGCTTCTGAAGAAACTGGCTGCGTAGGCTTGTAGACGATCTTGTCAAGGTACTAGGCCCGGCAGCATTCTCTGTGATTCCGGTGGTACAGCTAACAGTGCTAACATGCTGGTCAATGGCTAAACTGGCGTAGTTGTCATCACTGTCGCTATCACTGCTGGCTGCTATTCCGAAGGCATACCAGGCCTCACATGTACAGGAGGGAGCCTGGAAGGTAACACTGTATAAGCGCCCTGCGTCATTGGATCCTTTTACTCTAAATTTCCCTTAGAAATATCGACGCACTGGATGTCTTGGAATTCCCCAGCAGCAAACCGTCTCTTTAGGCAGTTCTTCACAAAGTGCCTGGGGTGATTATGAAGGTGGCCTGGCAGGTTGGTGATGCGTCGGTATTGGCTACTCTGTTTTAGATTCATATCACAATACTTTTGATATGAGTCTGGCAAGAAGCTCTCCACAAGCAAAACTACAATGCCATATGCAGACTTGTCTACAGATTTTGGTAGGTAGCTGTACTTAAAAAGTTTATTTTGAGCTTCTACTCCATTATTGGTGTTTACAATGTTGAGAACCTGTCGAGTGCCCTGAAACCTTCGGTACGACATCCCATAGTCGTGCTCTCCATCGCAGCTATCAGCATTTCTACCACCTCTGTTATCCTGCAAAAAGACAACAATTTTAACAGTTATACAGGGCTCTACGTTAACTTTAAAAGTCCATTTGCCCTGTAGGGCAAGTAAAACTGAAAATCACTTGCTCTATATAGCAATATTCACTTGCCCTACTTTTTTGTAGTAAAATGAGGAAAAGACCAATAAAAATAAATTAACACAACAACGTTTCATTTCAAATGAAACGTTGTTGTGTTAATGTACAGTACAACAACGATTTGTTTACAGTTGCACACGATTAATCGTCATTGGTGACATTCCGACGTGAGTGCATGAATTGTAAAACAATTTGCGGATATTCAAGTATAGTCGCGGCCAGCTTCATGTCCAGCAGGCACTACGCCTTAGTGCAATGTCAAGTGTTTTAATTAATTATTTCCGGTACAGTCGACCTTGCCTAAGACGAAATCGCATAAGTCGAATAATCGGCCAAGTCGAAGCACCACAAAAGTCTCGATCTTTCCTTATGCTTTTACTTTAATAAATCTTTGTCTATGTCGAAATTCACAAGTTGAATTTCGGCTATCTCGAATAATAATTCTCCCTTAAAGAGTTTTCCCCTAAAATGTTCGCCTGATTATAGGAAACTAAACTACAGGATACCTTATCATTAATCTGATCCTGATGATAAAGTATTTTATAATCATCACGCATGAGTATAGCTCCCATAACCATACCTTGGCAGATCCATGAAGGCAATGTTTAGTTTCTGAGGACTCTATTATAAATGGATGTCCAAAGAACTCGATCGGGAGATGCTGGAATATCGGCAAAGCTGCAAGCGAAAATGATAAACGAATGAGCTACAGTAGCTTTAAAAAAATGCTGACTGTACTATAGGGAAAATAGCAAAGCTTATACCGAAAAGTGTCATGGTTACATTGGAGTTAAGTAATAGTATTTTTTATAAATATTTGGACACAACCCTGGCTGTAGGCCTAGTGACTAGTGTACTTTGAAATGAAATATCAACCACACACACACACACACACACCACACACACACACACACACACACACACACACACACACACACACACACACACACACACACACACACACAC